GATATATAGAGATTAGAAACGCATGTGCAAACATCTTAATGTCAATTGCATTGAAAATGAATTTTTCTTTATGAAATTGTGTATTTTACCAATGAAATGGAGATATTGTTGTAAAGGTTAAAAGCTCATTTAATTTTATGTCTTATAGGGTTTATACTAAGTACAATATTGTATAACTGTAATAATTCAACTGTAAACCTAAAAATTTACAGCCAATTTTGAAAGAGATGCATCTTAGCTCAGAAAATTGTTATTGAATATGTCAATGCTGTTGTAATGAAATGCTTCTTCTAAGTATGTGATTATTAAATAATTAACTGGAAAAAAAGAGACTTTTAAAAGAGAAAAAAATTTAAAATAAAATTTTTTTAAAAATGAAAAAAAGATTGGCCTATATTATAATAGAAGAGACTTATTTGCCACTGATAATAGTTTTTAACCGAGAAAAGTATTTTTCTGAAACACAAAGGTTTCCAAGTCTTTAACCTAAAGACCTTCACAGCGGAGGGGTCAGGGCTTATTGCTGCCCCTGCATTTATAGGCTCATTTCAATGCTAATGAATTCTTCCACAAGCTGATTTGTTCCTTCTAATGTGTGCTTTAAACACATAGTCACTAATCCCTTAGATCTAAACTAGAGTTTCGTGAAAGGACTTAAATCAAGATTTATTCTTATAGAGCAGGAAGGTGAGGGTTTTGAAAGGATCAGACAAAATTGCCAGAGGGCAAAATGAGAAAGCACTTCAGAGGCTGTTTTTTGTTTGTTTGTTTGTTTTTTGCTTGTTTGTGTGGTGCTGGGGGTTGAACCCAGAGTCTCAGGAATATTAGTCCAGCACCTCGGATGGAGCCCCACACCCACCCTACTAGCCTGTTATTTAAAAATTCCAGAGTGCCTCTGTCATCCCAGCGTTTGGGAACCTAAGGACTGAAGATAGGAGGCCTGGGAGTTCAACGTCAGCCTGGACTATGAGGTTCTTAAAAATGGAAAATAAGTATCAGCACCTTCCCTCCAACAACTACACACCAAAACTCAAAGTAGAATACTGCCTATTTTTGACCAGTGACTCAATTTTTTCAGAAGTCTAATTTCTTTTCAAACTTTGACGTTCATCAGAACCACCAGTAAATCTTGTTGAAATGAAGACTGGCTTAGGGGTGCATTTAACAAGTTCCCAGGTGGACCACTTCTGTTGTCGGAGTCACACCATGCAGGTAGATTGAGGAGCGTGCTTACCCCCCCAAAGGCTAGCCTGGAGCAGCCTCAACGCGGTGCCTCCTGGCGGGCTAGGGCTGCCCTTTCTTCAGGTTTAAGCCAACAAAGTTTACTGGGGACTTTTCCTCCTCTCAGCAACCCAGTGAAGCAGGCGCTTATTTTCTTTATTCTACAGATGAAACAGGCTCAAATCATGAGCTTTGCAGAAGTGAGCCCAGGTCCCTTTGGTCACTCCACTGTGGCCCACACTTTGCTGAGCTCTGCAGTGGTTGGGACCGGCTGTCGGGTGCAGATCCCCGCCAGATACACGTGGAGTCCTTGTATATTTTCGGGAGAACTTGCTCTTTGACCCTGCAGGGAAACAGTTTTTGAGAGCACCCTAAACCTCCTTGGCTGGTTTAGGTCCGAGTTGCGTAAGGTGATTCCGGGGAGAGTCTTGCAGTCCGCGATCGAGCTGGCTCACCCCACGGCCCACAGCATAACATAACCCGGAGGCGGGTCCCCCCGCGCGCCCCTCACCCCTGGCGGAGCCCCAGCGCAGAGGGGATCCTGGGACGAGTCCGGGTCGCTTGCCCCGCAGCGCAGCCCGCGGGGCTGGCGGGGCTGCAGGGCCGGGACGTTTCGGAGGCCGGGCGGTGGGATCTCCCGGGTGACTCTGTCCCGCCGGCGCTGCCCAGCGCCCAGCCCCCGCGGAGCCTCCGCCCCGTGCGCTCCCCGCCCCTCGGTCGCACCGACTAGGAGCCTGGGGCCGGGGAAGGGGCCGCGGCTCAGCGGTATGACTCGCCGCCAGCGCCGCAGCTCTCCCCGAGAGGTGAGGACCCGGGACTGCGCCGAGGGCTGCGGAGTGCGGGCGCCCGGTCCCCGACGGGTCCCCTGTACTCTTCGCGGGTGCTGCAACCCCCTGATTCCCTTGGCCGGGTGTGGGAGCTCAGTTCCCGCTCTTCCCGCTTTCCGATCCGGTTGTGCCCGGCATCCTTCGAGGTAGGGTAGCGGAGCAGCGGGGTTGGAGCCTGGGGAGGACCCGGACTGGACGCTCCATTCTCCTCTGCCCCTAAATCTGGCCACCTGTTGGGTTAGGGAGGGATGCACGTGCCCAGGGCCCTGTCTGTACCCTGCGGGGTTCAGACTGAGTTTCGGGGCAGGTGGCTGGAGAGGGAGTGCCTTTGATCTCGGTTTCCTGCGGTTTCCAGATGCACACTTGCCATGCAAGACAGATCGCCTTTCCCTCGGATTCTCTCGGTTCCTTGCTTTTCACCCTCCCCTACTCCCTAAAATGTTTATCACATTATGTGGTCTGTTAAAAACACATCCGACTTGCACGTTTTTAATGAATTAAACTTAATTTCTCTAGTTGATTCTTACCCACTAAGAAAAACAGCCGCGTCTCTAGTGCGAACTGGCAATTCAGCATTTTAAATGTCTCGCGTTCAACTGGCCTCTGGTTAGTTCTTCCTGACTTTGTTGAGAGCTGGGTACTCCAGCCGCCCTGCTGACTTACTGGAAGGAAAATCTTCAGGTCTACCAAGTTCAGGAACACTCTGTCGCTACAGGTATCTGAGCTAAGTTTTTAAAATTGTCAGTAGGTGTATAAATTTGTCACTTCTCCACAGTCGTAAAAACTAGGGCTAATGGTGTTCCAGAAATCCACGGAAACCCAGCCTGTATCTGTTGAAAATATGAACTGTAGAACTGAGCTGCTGAGTGACTGGACTCGATCATTTACACTCACATGGTCGATTATTATCTACTAGATTCAAACCCTTCACTTACACAGCCTGGGAAGCTCAGAACTAGATGTGCAAGAATTGGTGAAATTCATGACTTTTTGTTTTTTGGAGACAGGACCTCCCAATAATCCTAGCTTGCCTGGAACTTGTTATATAGAAAGCAGGCTGGCCTTCATCTCAGAGATATCTGCCTGCCTCTGCCTCCTGAGTGCTGGGACTGAAGGCATGTGCCACTGGGCTTATGTCTAATGGAAATTCACCAGACTGAAGCTCAGCTTTCTCACTGCCTGGGGGTTAGTTTTCAGGGCACTTTGCCTCTAGGCATTTGAACAAAGATGGTATGACCAGACAGACCCAAACATGATTTTCCTCTTCTTGTTTTTTATTTATCTATTTTTAAACTGGGAGGATGCTAAAATAGATGACAGAAGTCCATTTTCTTAAACTGCCTTTGTTGTGCAATTGCTAAAAATAGGAATCTTTAAGCCTGGCCATGGTGGTACACACTTATAATTCCAGCACTCTGGAGATAGAGTTGGAAGAATTTGGGGGAGTTCGAGGCCAGCCTGGGCTACATAATGAATATCAGGTCAGCCAGAACTACCTAACAAGACCCAGTTTCACAAAGTGGAAGGAAGGAAAGAAGGAAGAAAGGAAAAAGGCAATCCTTAATTTTAAACAATATTTTATGCTCTTATATTACAATGAACATGCTGATACCTCCAAGGTGAACTCACAGAAGAGACAAAATATTCAAAGTAGGTGGGAATAAGCTTACCACACTTGTAGATCCTTCTGATTGTGTGATCATTATGGAGATTGGTTAGAGCTGAAGGCATGATTTGTGGAGTTGTCTTGAGAAACATGGCTCAGACGTTTGTGGTGATTAGCACCATGATCTAACAGAAGTCATGGCTTAAATTTTAAAACAATTTTGGGCTGACTTAGCTAGTACCGTTGCAACACACTGCATATTTTTTGATGTAGTTCAATTAAGCAGATATTTTTTGAGTGTGTACTCATTGCCTGGTGCTGTGTTGGGCATTTGGGATATGTCAGTGAACAGAGCAAAGAACTTTGCTTCTGTGACGTTCAACTTGCAATTCATTCATCAGAATTTCCCTAGGACTCTGTTAGGCAGATAGAAGAGAATTTCAGTTTTGCCCACAGAAGGGAAACAAATACAGATGTTCTTTCCTTCTGATGCCATGGTCTTGTTGGTCATATAATCATAGGAAACAGGGGCTGGAGAGATGGCTCAGTGGGTAAGGGCACTGACTGCTCTTGTAGAGGACCTGGGTTTGATTCCCAACACCCACATGGTAGCTATGATGTCCTTAACTCCAATTCTAGGGGAATCCAAAGCCCTCTTCTGACCTCTGTGGCATTGCATGAAACGGGTGCACGCACATACATGCAGGCAAGTACACTCATACACACAAAAAAAGAAATAAAATATTAAAAAAATAATCATAGGAAACAAACTCTCAATGTTGCTTTGGCTTTTATGGATGGCTTTTTACTGTTATGTGAATAGCAGTTCCCACATGTGGCTATCTAAAGTATACACATTTGTAGAGACATTGTAACTTTAAGCATAGTGAAGCACAGGAAGATTACTTTTCTCAGAAGTGTTACCATGATAGTGTTAGAGATTGTAATAGCAGTAGCTTGTAAGACATAGATGGCTTTTCTTTCTTTACTTAGGTGGCGTCCTGTTTTTGCTCACTTTCCATGTTGTTCCCCACTCTTCTCCATATTCATAGGCTGCACGGTGTTGTGACTTACTGATAAACCTGTCACCGTGGTAGTTTTTCTTTTTGAACCACACATTCTAGTTTTAAGCCAGTCATTAATTCTCTCCATTGCATTTTTTTTCAAATAGCCGTGTTTGCAAGCTCAGGCATGTTTGTTATTTTTAATAATGTCTTATCTAAATGAACTTGGCAGATTTTGGTCATAGAAATCAAAAAGCCAGTGTTGGGGTTGTTTTTGCAGTCTTAATCATCTGTTTTCTTTTAAAATTTGCCAAACTGGAAGCTATTTTCTTATGAGTACCTTTTATGCATATCTAAAAACTCAGCCATTACCATGGCATAATTTGATTGAGAAAAACCAGATCACAATTGAAGATGTTGGAGGATTTGAGCACATAGATTCTCTGTCTCCGTTATGTGTGAGTGCATGTGTATATGCAGGTATGCTTGCCCATGAGGGTGTGAGTGGAGGTCAGAGACTGACATCTGGAGGTCTTCTTCAGTTGCTTTTCCACCTTATGTGTGTTGAGGCAGCATCTCTCACTGACTTGGAGCTTGCCTTTTAGGATAGACTGTCTGTCTGGATCTACCTGTCTCCACTCCTGAGCTCTGGGCTTACAGACAAGCACTGTCACACATGTGTTTTTACCTGAGTGCTGCGGATTTTAATTTAGATCCTCATACTTGAACATCAAGCATTTTACCCACTGAGCCATCTCCATAGCCCCTCTGTGTCTATTTTTAATTCTCTCTACATTAAAGGTTAGCAGGAAGCATTATTATCTAACAGTATATTATTTAAAGGTGGTCTTTGTTGAATACTTGGGTCACAATTCTGATACCTGCTAGGCACCCAGAATACTTGTTTTCTTTATCCACTTGTTACTTTGCTCCATCATAGATGGTCCAGGGGAGTGAGCTGTAGCAGCTAGGTAGAATGCTGCAGGTCATTAATTAAGTAATCAATCAATAAACTCATTAATTTGATTGAATAAATACTTATTAAACTTTCATTGATCATTTGTGTAAGGATTTATGTGGATTGCCTTTTGAGCCTCTTCTGTTTTACTGGTGGCAGGAAGGCCACAAAGATACAGAAGGAGCAGCGAAGGCAGAAGCAGTTCCAGCCTGGTTTGGAAGAAAAGACGTTGCAGGGTTATCTGTGCTACCGTAAGACAGAGAGAGAGCTTGGAAATTATTTATTTATTTATTTATTTATTTATTTATTTATTTATTTATTTCATCTATCTATCTATCTATCTATCATCTATCTATCTATCTATCATCTATCTATTTATTTATTTATTTTCATTAATTTTTAATTGAATTTGATCATATTTAGACCCCCTCCTCTACCTGGAGCCCCCCAACTCCTCCTCCGGATTTCGTGCATTCTTCTATATATATGTTAAGGCCTATCAAGTCAAGACTGGTACCCAAATATCCTTTGGTGTTAGTCCATCCATTAGAGCCTAGTCAACCTATGTAGTGTCACTCCCTTAAAGATCAACTCCCCTTCTCTCAGCAGTGATCACTTACCAATAGTTTCTCAACTAAGGTTGGAGCTTCTTACCATTTCTTCACTTCTATGCCAGGTTTTTATCTGGTTTGAGTTTGCATGAATCTTGTGCATGCTATCACCATTGCTATAAGTTCATGTGAACAAGTTCCCAGCCATGTGGAAAACTTTACTTGTGGTCACCTACCATCCCTGGCTCTTAAAGTCTTTCCATGTATTTCTTTCTAAGTTTATTATGCTTATAAAACCTACTTTGATAAAAGTTAATATATATAAGCACATATGCACATTTA